AACACTTTATTTGTATGAATTAAAATAAAATGCAAACCACATGCTAGGCCGCTGGCTGAAACATTCAAACGTAATTCGAAGACGTAGGGTTTCTTTTGTGCCGTTGTTATAATACGTGTTTGTACATAGACCTTCTCTGAAGTTTATGGTTTGTACGAGGTCTGGCATGTAAAGAAAAAAAAAGCGGTGACCTTTGGGGTCATAAACCTATTGTTACGCCTTTAATTGAATGTGTACCAGAAACTTTGTCATTTGCATGCAGTATTGGTGGACAATGCCGTAGTGTCCTTCGTATGCAAACGTGTTATTTCTGATGAAATGGAATTTGCCGACAGGAGAAAATACTTGCACGGTTTAATTTTACCATTGGCAGGCAAGTACTGTTATGTACATCATCACGGAAAAACCGCGATGAAAACTGCGTTCGTGTCGAGGTGTGATATTGAAACCAGAGGCGACGGCAGCTTTTTTTGTTTTTGAGTGTCACGGTGGCGACGAAGATTTTATGGGAATGTCAACAAATCGAGTGCCGAAGGGGCGACCTTTCTTGGGGGTTCCGAGGGCATGCTCTCCCGGGAAATTGTTGAAATCTAGACCATTTGAAACGCTGTTTCCTGCATTTTGGGGAGCAAATTCGAGTGCTGAAGGTTTCGGGCCGCACAGTGTGCACTTTTACCGACATTTGCGGTGGATTTTAGTGACACCTTATTTTATCACCTATTTGTCGTGGGGCCACCAGCCCCGCTGCCCCCACGATACCGCCGCTACTGGAAACAGCGTTGTGTAAAGTTATGCATGTAATACATAGAATTCAATGAAGTCTTTGGTGAATTGGTGAATTGTTGATATCCGCAAATCGCGTTTTGGACCCGTCTGCTGAATACTGTGAAATGCTTGATGTTGAATCGACTTACGTTTGTGTGAACAGGCTGTCGTATTTTTCAGAAACATGTCGTGCAATATGAGTTACACGCCGAAGTGAATGGGATGTTGGCAATAGAATCCCCACCTACACAATGTTATGTTAATTAGGCAAATACGGGGAGGCTGTCTCAGGAAATATAGATCAATTTAAATATGAAACTGAAGGTAAAATGAAACGTT